TTGTTAAACTCATGCATAAAAGATCTGCGCAAATCTAGTCACAGAGCATTAAATCAATCAATAGGAAATTAATCTAGCATTGACAATCAACAACAATAAATTACCCCTTCATATTATTTATGGATCCCCATAACCCTAGAAAGAAAACTACTCACACATAGTAAAAACTAAACTAATCAAAGCAATAAAACAAGTCATGATGGAAGGAGTAAAATAAATAACTAAGATTAAGAGAAGAGAAATCGTTACCAAACTAATCTGTATTAATCGAAAAATTAAGAACAAGAGTTGAGAAATGAGTTAAGAGAGAGAAAAATCCTAAGTAGAGAGAGAAAGTCTGAGAAAGAAGATAATCAAAATTCCGTACAAAACTCCTCTATAAACGTTTCCTAAAACAAAAATTAAAACTAACTAATCAGGTCCTATAGAAACACGCGCCCAATCGGGTGAAGGGCCGCCCGATCGGGCCCGCCTTTTTCTTCGCATTCCTTCTCCGCAGCATCACCCGATCGTGCTAGATGCTTGCACGATCGGGCGCGCTATAAGCACGCACAACACCAGCAACGCCGCGCCGCACTCGATCGTGCAACCTCTTGCCCGATCGGGCCCTTGCTCCACTTTGAGGCTCGGACTTCGATTGGGCTTGATTTCTCGGCCCAATCCGGATTTCCTCTTTGGGTCTTGAATATTCGGTCCAAATACCTCGGGATCCCAATTACCGAGCCCTTAATCACCGGCTCGATGACTCTAACCGGCCTTGGGCTTCAAAGATGGTCGTATTTCTCCAATGCTCGCGACTGCTCCCAAAATAACTCGGGAAAATACTCCAAAAGCATAAATCCCTGCAAAAGTCAACCAAATCTACGAAAACACTAGAAAACACCAATTAGTAATAAAAATGGCTTTAAAGAGCCAAAAACACTACTAATTACGACCAAGGGACGGGGGTAAAATGCTATATAAAATAGACACAACATCTCACGAAACTTTGGAGATGTTTGTATTATATTTCATAATATTATGTGTGATATGATGCACTCTGTATTATTATTATGTATAAATTTAATAATTGTAATTCGTGTGATCAAGTTTGTATATGTATATGATTGATTATTGGTATTATATAATTTGATTGGATATGAGTATTGTATTACTTTTATTGTTTATGAATGATTATGTTTTATTCTAGGGTTCTAATGTTGTTTCCATAGGGAGTATTATTTTATCGAGGTTTTAGGGTTGTTAATGTAGAGTATTATTTTTTTGGGTTGAGAAGTAATTAGTTTTGGGTGCTAGTATTATTGCCCTAAGAGTTGAGATATTTATGAATCAAATTGTTATGTTGTTTGGGAACATGTGCCAATATTGAGATATTATAAATTAATTTTTGAATGGTTATTTTATCGATGTATGGGATCAAAAGGTTGAGAATTATAATTTTTGTTCTTGGTTTGAGGCTCGGCGTTATATAACTTAGTCCTTGGCTTGTTGGTAAGAGGGTAATGATCATAAGTTAAGAAAGAGGTACAATCTTTATTATTTATTTTTCTATGGTCCCCTATAGTGGGAATTAGCCCATATGTGGCATGGTTCAAGGTGTTTTCTAGTTATTGAGAGTATTCAAGTTTTTATACTTGTTAGTTTGTTATTCGAATTACTCATGTCCAAGGCTAGGTAATATAACAAAGAGCATGGCACACTTATTGGTTATGAGTTAATTGAATGATGAATTGTATTATTATTCGAGGTTGAGTTGATAAAGGTTATTTTCAGAGTACAATGTGTAATGTAGTTTTGAACTACATTGTTTAATTGATCTAGCAATGTTAATTATTCTATTATTCATTGTATTCTGATATGTGGGAGTAATCAGCCTTTTGCTGACGTGTGTATTGTTTTGTTGTGTTACTTGTGTTTGTGACAATCTATTTTGGTGGCCCTGTGACGATCTATGTTGGAAATTGTTCTTAATGGTGAGCAGTCAAGATTTTCTAAGCAGGTTAAGCAAGCGATCGTATCTAAAGAAGCTCAAATGTTTCGATTAGTATGCTATAATGAGTTTATAAAGTTGTATAAATAGCTCACCTAGTTTATTGGGTTGTAATTATTGGGATTTTGTAAGCCTTAACACTTGACAGGTTGTTGAGTGTGGCGGTAGTACCTCCGATTTAGGTGTATGCTTCCGCAATTTATTTAAAGGTTGTTTCTTTTTCCTTTAATTCTTGTTTATTATTAGTTAGTAAATCGGGAGTGTTACAGTAACCTTCACCCTGTGAACGGTTTACAAGTTCCTACAAGTTGTTGGCAACTCTTTTACTCCAGCTTCCTTCCCTTTGGATGTCACCATGCTTAAGTGTATGATCAAAGTGGGGCTCAAGTGTGGGATGCTTGAAATATTCCCTACAGTAATGAACCGACAAATATGACGGAGTTTAGACCTATAAATTGTTGTAATGTGATTTACAAAATAATATCAAAGGTGTTGGCTAATAAATTGAAGCCACTCCTTAATGATATTATCTCGGTCATTCAGAGTGCTTTTGTACCGGGTCGGTTAATTACATATAATGCTCTTGTTGCGTTCGAAATTTTTCATGCGATGAAGAGAAGAGGGGAAGGGAAGGATGGGTCGGTGGCTCTTAAACTTGACATGAGTAAGGCGTATGACAGGGTGGAATTGTGTTTTTTTTAGAGAAAGTGATGGAGAAAATAAGTTTTTGTGATGAGTGGATCGGAAGAGTTATGAATTGCATTCGTAGTGTCTCGTTCTTTTTCAAGGTAAATTGGAAGTTGGGGGGTTTGTAACTCCTACAAGAGGTCTACGGCAGGGTGACCCTATCACTCCGTACTTATTCTTGTTATGTGCCGATGCTTTTTCTACTCTTCTTAGAAAAGCAGCTTTGAAGAAGAAAATAAGTGGTGCAAGGATTTGCTACGGGGCTCATAGGGTGTCTCATTTATTTTTTGCTGATGATGTATAGTATTTTGTTTGCAAAAGCTATTATGCGGGAATGTTCTATGATAATTAATATAATCAGTAAATATGAGAGAGAATCTGGTCAGAAAGTCAATTTGAGTAAGACAGAATTAGCTTTTAGCAAATGTGTGTCGAGTGAAAGGAGACAATTAATAATCGATACTTTAGGGGTTTGGGAAGTCGAAAAACATGAGAAATATTTAGGACTTCCCACGATTATTGGTAGGTCTAAAAAAAACCATTTTTTTGATCTTGAAAGAGAGAATCTGGAAGAAATTGAATGGGTGGAAGGAGAGACTGCTATCAAAATCGGGGAAAGAGGTCCTTATCAAAGCAGTGGCTCAGGCAATCCCAACTTATATGATGAGTATTTTCAAGATTTTGGATGGTCTTATTGAGGAAATTCATATTCTCCTTAATCAGTTTTGGTGGGGTTCGAGAGAGAATGAGAAGAAGCTACATTGACAAAGTTGGGATAAATTGTGTCAGCGCAAAGCTTTGGGGGGAATGGGTTTCCGTGATCGTAAGTGCTTCAATCAAGCTCTCCTAGCAAAGCAATGTTGGCGACTACATTTCAACATAAACTCTTTGCTGCACCAAATTTTAAAAGCGAGGTATTTTAACAACTCTAATGTGATGGATGCGAATCAGGGGTTTGACCCTAGTTATTCATGGAGAAGCATGTGGGGGTGCTAAGTTGTTGCTTAGAGATGGTCTAGCTTGGAGAGTGGGGAATGGTGAGACTATCAAGGTTTGGTCAGATGGGTGGCTGCTCAAAGATGGTGTACTTATTACTCCACCTCAATCCCATGTAGCAGAGTAGGTCAGAGTGGGATGTGGCGAAGCTTGAGGAGTTATTTGAGCTTGATGTGAGGTCCTTAATTTTGACTACCCCGTTGTCATCGAATATGGTGGGGGACTCTCAGTATTGGTATCTTACTAAGCATGGTGATTATTCACTTAAATTGGGTATTGGCTTGCAAAAATGGGTGCTAGTAATGTGGGGGGAAATGTTGACGAAGAGGAACTATGGAAGTCAGTGTGGAAGGCTCATGGACCACCAAAGCTTAAGCATTTCCTTTAGAACGCTGAGAAGGGTAATATGGCTGTTAAAGAAAGACTAATGCAACACCACATTACACCTAACGCTACCTGTCAGCTATGTGGAGTTATTAAGTCTGTGACTCACTCTTTGATCGATTGTGTGGTGGCAAAAGAAATCTGGCAACTTAGTGAACACAAGGATTTGTTAAATGATGCTCCTCGCTCGAGTTTTATTGAATTGTGGCTATGGCTATGTAGGAAGGTGAATGCAAGTGTGGTGTGTGAAATGGCAGCTCTTATGTGGGCAACATGGGAGGGTAGGAACATAATCATGTACCAGGGGGAGCGGTGAAATAGTGTGGTGTTGGCAGCAGGTTTTTCGAGACTTGTTTAGGACTATAACTCATATGCAAAGAAGGTACTGCTACCCCCTTAACTCGCGCGAATGCTACTGATGCGAAGTGGAGACGACTTGCTGTGGGTCGGATCAAAGTTAATACTGATGCTCATGTGTTAGAAGGCTCGCATGTAGGGCTGGGTGCTGTCTTAAGGGATGCAGATGAGACTGTTATTGCGGCAGCAGTGAAGAAGTCACATTGTACATCTTCGAAAGTTGCTGAAGCAAATGGTGTTCAATTAGCTTGGAGACTTGGCTATAGATCAGTAAAGATGGAGAGTGATGCTGTGAATGTGGTGGCTGCTGTGCAGGATTCAAGAAGTGGTGTTTTCCCGATTCATTTAGTTTATGATGATATTAGAAGCGATAACTTGTGTTTTAATTTTTGTTCTTTTAAGCGTGTTAAACGTTATTGTAATACAATATCCCACTTAGTGACACGATGGGATACCGGTTATAATTCGGAACTTGTTCGGTTTGGTACTTTTCCTCAAAGCATAACAACTTTGCCGGAATTGGACCTTCTTTAATAATATCTTGCTATCATTTCTTTCAAAAAAAAAAAAAAAAAAAAAATAGAAGGTAAAGTCCAAAGACTTTCTCGTTGGAGTATTTAGATAAAGAAAAATAAGATGAACAAAATAGACCTAGCACAAGTTGAAAAATAAATAAATAAAGAGAAAAAAGAAGAAAAACTCTATTGAGGAAGAGGCTTGCGCTTTGCATTGCATTGCATAAGCTGACCGATCTGCTGCTCATCAAGATTGCGATGAGAGTTAGAAGGAACGGGATCGAAGCTCATCTCATAAACCCTAGCAGATCTTCCGCAATGAAACCCTTCTTCTCTCTCCTCTCAATTTCAACTACATTCTCGATCACATTATTATTACTTGCTCATACCACTTCAGTGTTTGCTGATTCAATCCATGGATGTGGCGGATTTATAGAGGTAATCTATTGCGAATTCTTTCAATATTAGTTGCTAAACTATGTATTTGTAGTTAGTTTTGGTCTGTTAATCGAATTGGATCAGTTAGTTGACTTCGATTTTTTTCAGATGAAGTTTTCATTAAAATTCGAGTTTTTATTGTTCTGATTTTAGTTTTGTTGTTGTAGGCGAGTTCGAGTTTGGTAAAGTCGAGGAAATCGAGTAATGCGAAATTGGATTACTCACATATCACGGTATTGATTTGTGACTGCTCTTTCTGTTGACTTGTTTTTGGCAAATATTGTGTGGGTTTTACCTGGATTGAGGTGATTGCGATTGAGTCTTTAAATCTCATCTGTTTTTATGTTTAGTCGAAACGAATGCTAAGTAGGCGGTATTCAACGGTATGTGTATGTGTACTTGTGTAGTGCGGAAGGTTTTTATTAGAGCTTGAATCATGTCCCATGTATTGCATTATATGCAAATGTGAAATACATACATGGTGTGTATGAGAACTATGATTTCATTTGAAATGCTAATGTTAGACTAACCAAGTGTTTGGATACCCAAGAATTTCTAATCTAGAATTTGGTACTCCCTCCGTCCCCGAAAGAACGACCCATTTGGGTTGATTTCGCGGGTATCAAGAAAGTTAAATAAAAAGAAGTAAAAGTATATTGGAAAAATAAATTTACATGGGGTTTGTGGAGAGAGAGAGAGTAATAAAAGTACATAGGGAAACAAAATTTTATATGGGGAAGCTAATTTTGCATAAATATTATTGCAAATTGGTGGGGATTTTAATGCAAATGAATCATTTTTTTTTGGGACTAAAATTAGACCAAATGGGTCATTCTTTTGGGGACGGAGGTAGTAGATATATATATATATATATATATATATATATATATATATTTTTTTTTTTTTTTTTTTTTTTTTTTTTTACTCAGTAGTAAGGGATTTGAATTAAACTCTCTTTGTCCCCGGATCATTGTATGCATTTTGAAAATTAACATCTATTAGGTGACTAATAGATTGGTTACATTTGTTTTGAGATGATTTTTTGTTGTTTTTAAAAGTGTAAAGGTTTTTTTGCAAACATTTGGAACCAAAATTTTAAATTAGCTTACTTAATTTGTTGTAAACTGGGTTTTCGTTCTTTGTTAATAATAGATAATTTCATATAAGTGATGTATTATGTGGAAAAATTAGCTTAGAATTGTTAGAAATTACAATACATTTTTGGGATACATGTATTAAATAGCTATAGCTTAGCTTGTATGACTATATGTATGAGCAAATGAAAAAGATAATTTTAATATTGTATTATTGTTTTTACCTTGTTATAGATTGTTGTTAAAAACATAGATGCATAAGTTGGACATTAAATATATGATCTTTATGAACGTGATTAACTCTTTGTAATATGACTTAATTGACTTAATATGTGAAGTTAAAGTGGTGGTAAAACTTGAAGGTTTAACCATCACAAGGTCACGAGTTCAAGTATAAATGTAAACAACTGTTAATTTTTTGTGAGGAAACAAATATGATTAGTAATTATATGATATGATGCCATATCATTTGCCTCGTAATGGTGCATGTGGCGGATAGCATGCCTTGCCATTGAGTTTTAATAATATATAGATGTTTCGCCATGTAATGTGTAACTGCCTATCATCCCACCAAATTAATTTTCGTTGCTTATGTTCTCTTTCTAACAAGGCCCGTATTCCGGATTCTTTCTCCGGCCTTAGTCTTCAGAATTGTTTACTGTCTCCTTCAATAACCTCTACTAAACCCCTTCTCTCTTTCCCTTAAAGTACCATTTCCACCAAAATAATTTGCCACCTATCTGCTGTCACTGGAACAAAAGGCTCGTTCCTTTATTTAGTGGAGGCAACCGTAGATGCAAACTGTACTCGTTGTTCCTTGTTTCGCTAGAGGTTGCTATAGATGCCAAAGGTAGGTATCTTTTCTCTACTCAACACTTGGATGGGGGCATCTTATATGGAATGAAACATTCATCCTCGTCGACGGTGGCTTTATTTAGATGACACAAACAACTAGCGTCAGCGCATATGAAGATCCAAAACTTTAATTTGAGATTAATTAATACTATTACCGAAATATCGAATCATTGATCTATCTTTAGTTTCTTATTTTGCTTCTGATCAATTTATCGTTATTTCAGAAGTAAACAGTTAAATTTATAATTATGGAAATGGAATTCCAAAGATTTTCCAAACTACATACTGAATTTTGAATGATGGATACAAAATCTTCAAATTCCCAAACATATAGTTTGGAACTGATGTGAGGAATTGTATTCTCAGGAAAAAAAAAATGAATCATTTGAAATTATATACTTGTATCCAAACTCTACCTAATGGAATTACAGGGTGTTCCTAGAACTGATTTTATTGCGTTCTTTTTGTAAGTGGGATGTATGTAAATAGTTGATACTTGCATTCCTTATACGGCACACTTATCCATGCTGTGTAAAATGTCGTCTACCAATTTTATGCATGCATATATGTTTGATTGTCTGGAATTTTGACTAGCTAATCGGTCATACTAAATATTCTGCTACAAAGGGAGAAAATGGCCTGTTTTGATTTTTAATACTCCCTCCGTATTTTATTACTTCCTCCACTTTCCTTTTGTGGCCGTATTGTATTACTTGCTCCATTTCCTTTTTTTGGAAACCTTTCACAATATTTTACTATTATCATACTTTATTCTTCCACCAACCCCACTTCCTTCATGTTTTATTACTTTCTACTATTTCTCCTAAAAGTCCACGCATGGAGAAATGGAGCAAGTAATAAAATACGGAGGGAGTAGTTTTGAACTCTTGCTTCTACATTTGGTGTTTTTGTTCCCAAATGTTTCTAAATAAATCAGGGCTTTTGCTTCTATTAGTAATGAGTTTATCTTGAAATATGATACTTTTCATGTTCTCAATTTCATAATTTTACTAGATTTACTTTTTGGTACCTATTTTTATAGGTTACATACTTATATGATGCTTACTTGACTTCTTGTTGTGATCTTTTAGCTTTCGATGGTGTATTATTGACCTGATAGGAAATTCTTCCTTTGTTTTGCCTTCTCAGGTTGAGCTACAAACTTTGGATGGGTTGGTGAAGGACAGTACTCAGTGTGCACCTAATGGCTACTATTTTATCCCTGTTTATGATAAGGTGAATTTAAAACAATTTTGTGATAGTAACAAGAAAAAGGGAGGGTCAGGGGGTGAAAAATAAAAACATTTGGTTCATATTTGGTAAATTTTGTACTCTTTTGGTAATTGCTGAAGGTACATCTAAGGATTTGCAGATTGTTGGCAGCTAATTTAGTTATTCAATCTGAAGTTTGAACTTGTCATCTAAGTTTCTTAGAAGAGAAATTTAGCTATATGGCTGTTTGTTGGAATTTTCTTCTATAATTTTGATTAAGGGTTTGTTATTTTCACTTGAAATTAACTTTATTGCATTTGTCTTTATTTATCTGAACTCACAAAACCTCATCAAACTTGTTTAAATTTATGGACTAGGGTAGCCTTCATTGAAGTTTAATCTCTTGAAATAAGTATTTATAAAGTGAAAGAACAGAGGCATAGTGTCTAATATTTCTAGGACTTTCTACCTGACTAAAAGGCCAACTCAAAGCACTAAGTTAGTTAATATTTTCTGCTTCTTATACTACGCATTTCATGCAGGGATCCTTCATAATTAAGGTCCGGGGGCCAAAAGGATGGGCATGGGAGCCAGAAAAGGTTATTTAATTTTGATCTCATTTAAAGTGCATTTTGGTTGAAGCAGTTTCTCTGTTGTTTATTGATTCTTTAACAATCATCTTTCAAATTGTAGGTTCCTGTAACAATTGACCATAGGGGATGCAATGCAAATGAAGATATCAACTTTCGGTTCACAGGGTTGGTCCCTTTTTGGTTACATTGTTGTCTGCGTCTGTTTATTCTAGTACTTCTCTTTTGCATGTATGAGCTTATCTAAGAGTTTAGCTGGAAATTCTTAGTGATTCTCTTGGCCTGTCATAGGTTTTCTCTATCTGGAAGAGTTCTAGGGGCTGTTGGTGGTCAGAGTTGCCGGTTAAAAAAAGGAGGTCCATCAAATGTTGTTGTGGAGCTTCTATCATCAACAGATGATCTCATTTCCTCTGTATCAACATCAACAACAGGAGATTACTCTTTCAAGAATGTAATTCCAGGTTTGTACTTTTCCTAGCTATGTGTAATGTTTTTTCTCTCTGCAACTGCTATCTATGTTTAATATCCACTTTTCAAGCTATAATATTGGCTTGTTAACTGAACATTGTTTCACCTTGTGTAATGCTATATTACTGATGCTCTAACAATATTTTGCGTCAAGGGTGTTGATTCTTCGTGGGAATTTAAAGGGAATCATATACATTGTAATTGCTGACCAAATGGCCTTTTGTCGGAGAAGAACTTGTTTTAGTTATTCTTTTAATAGTTATAGTTAGCAAAGATTGAAGTTTATGAATGAGATATGTTATTATGTGAATGAATTATTTTGCATAAAAGTGTGGCAACTCTTAATGAGATGAACTACTCAAGTGAACTATTCAACTGGCAGATGTGTTTGTCGTGAAGGAATTATAACATCTCTTGTGGATGATGATTTGGGAGTTTTGTAAAGGACTGATCGTAGTGGTTGTGGTGCTCCAATCTATTGTCTCTAAATTGTAGTTTAGTTGAAATCACTATGTCAATAACTCATCTGCAACTATCATGCAAATCCTTGACATTATTTTCAGCTTTAAGTTTACTGACTATATTGTAACTCATTCAATATTTCCTATCTTTCCTTACACAACAATGCTCTATTACTTTTCATTTTAATATGCCAATGCAATACAATCTCTCTGCTTGAATAGCAACAAGATGACTAACATGCTCTTAATAAGTGTGGATAACTTGCAATGACCCTTAATAATGGGTGGAGGGAGTGTATTTTAGATCTGCAGTTAAGGAGGGTTGCATCTTTTTGTTTTTTCAATAAATTTTGGTTTTTCCATGCAAAACTTACGTGGAACAGAGTTTATTTTATTTTATTTTATTTTATTTATTCTTTATTTCTTTTATTATTATTCTTTATGGATATTGTTCCGTGTACCCCAAGTTTAAAAAAATGTACCGTGTACCCTTGCAAAGTTTTAAATGAACCATGTACCCTTGACATACGATAATTATGTACTAAACACCCTTATTGCTAACACCGTTAACTTTCCGTTAGTTTTATATTTCAAAATTTCAACAACTAACAACTATAATTTTTTTTTATTATTTATTTATTTTTTAATTATTCTTTATGGAAATTGTTCCGTGTACCCCAGGGTTCAAAAAAATGCACCATGTACCCTTGCAAAGTTTTAAATGAACCATGTACCCTTGACATACGATAATTATGTACTAAACACCCTCATTACTAACACCGTTAACCTTTCGTTGGTTTTATGTTTCAAAATTTCAACAACTATTAACTATAAATTTTCACTGAATTTCTACACGACGTTTCACCATGGGAATTCTGCGAGAGTATTAAATCCCCGTAAAATTGCATAATTTCGACATTGAAAGCCCAAAAAATGTATAATTTCAACTACTAGTATAGATTATTTTAAAATTTCGAACGCTAAACCCCAAAAATTGCAGAATTTCATTAATAAAAGGCCTTAAATTCCAGAATTTTGAATATAAAAATACCCCAATTTCAACAAGCATGAACCCTATTCCCCAAATTTCATAATTTTCAACAACGATTTTCACTCTAGGCTAAAGAAATTGAAGTGTACTAACCTTTAATCAAGCACTTGCACAATAACTCCACTTGAATTGCATTCGAAAATTGATTCAAACTTCCTTCTCCTTCAAAATAGGTAGTGTTCTACTGTACGTATGTGTTAGTGTTGTGTTTTGTTTAATGGCATCAACTATAATAACTAAGGGCATTATTGTCTTTTGTCACTAACGGAAAGTTAACGGTGCTAGTAATAAGGGTGTTTAGTACATAATTATCATATGTCAAGGGTTCATTTAAAACTTTGCAAGGGTACACGGTGCATTATTTTAAACCTTGGGTGTACACGTAACAATTTATCTCTTCATTTCAATCTGACATTCTTTCTGAAGCTATTTTCAAATCCTTTTTGTTATTTCATCTACCAAAAAAGATAAAAAATAATAAATTCTTTTTGTATTTTGACCAATCCAATTATATCAAAGTTGCTTCTTAGTTTTTCATATATTCTAGAAACCTCTATTATTATGTCATTGCTTTAAGTCGAAGGATTTTAAAGTCACAGAATTAAATCTTCTGGTCATTTAAAAAATGAAAATATATTTATTCCATTGTTCCATATTTAAGCAACATAAAGCTCTTTCCTTTTGTGGCTGGAGATGAATGTTTTAGATCTTATCCTAAGCATCTTGACTATAAGACATCTTGCTCTACGACTTTAAACACAAATTTAAATGAACAAACTTTCTTTGTCTACAATGACCATATTGACTAAGTCACAATTTCAAATTATGTGCGTCTCTGGAGCAGGGAGGTACAGATTACGAGCTTCCCATCCTGATTTGAATGTGGAAGTTAGAGGTTCTACTGAGGTAATAAGCTTCCTCCTTAATTATTTGGTTCAGTTTTCCATTCCTTACTTCCAGTAGCCTACAGTTAGAAGAGATCAGAAATAAACTTACTGAAGCCCTTGTCGTATGCAGGTTGAGGTGGGGTTTGAAAACAGTGTTATTGGTGATATTTTCTCGGTTGCCGGTTATAAAATCCGTGGACATGTTGTAGCTCAGGTAGATAATTTCTTCTCTGGCACTTCTAGATGTTCCTAAATTAGAAGTTAATCTTTTGCTTCTTTAGTTGATGTTTGGACTCTTGTCTTCAAAACTATGTTACTACATTGAGGTATAAGTGGTATCATAGCAGTTGTAATAATTGCTTTTTTAGTTATTATGAATGTCTTTTTTAGTTTAGGTATAAGTGGACTCTTTGTTTCTTGTCTAATCAACTTCTGCAATCTTATAATTGCATGCTTATGTCTGCTTCTAGGGAAATCCAATCTTGGGAGTCCACACTTATTTATATTCAGATGATGTTCTGGAAGTTGAATGTCCCCAGGGTGCTGGTCATGGTCCTGGGGATAGGAAAGCCCTCTGTCATGCTGTATCTGATGCAGATGGAAAGTTCACATTTAAGTCTATACCATGTGGTAAGCTTCGTGTTTCATGTTGTCTTTTATATGGCTTTGTTCTTTAATAGGTGCAGCATGTCGATTTTGCTTGTAATCCTCCAGTGATTTGTTTGAGCTCTGAAAATGCATCTTTATCATCTTTAATCGTGGAATTGAACTACCGACTTTTTATTTCTAATGTATAGGTTTATCAGAGATTAGAGTGAAGCATGCCTATTCTAGCTTTATTGTGGATGTTTCCCTCTTTCCTTTTTTGAATTTCACGTTTCTAATTGCTATGTGTTTGGATTCTAGTTAAGCTCAGTGATATTTAATTATTCATTTCCTAAACAAATAGTATCACTCTTTTCACTTTAGTTGCCCCCCTTTCATCTTAGGATCTCACAATTGGTTTGCTCCATTTTACTTTTATACTTAGTAGATGATTCCATATATGCACTCACTAAAGGTTAAACAATATAACCATTGCATTAGTAAGTAGGTAAATTTGGAAAGTCAAGTTATAGTTGACGTGGAACTACTACTCCTAGTATACTTGTCTACAACTACAGTTAATATTATTCTTTGTCAGACACTCATATTGTCATAGTCAAAGGCCAGAGACAGAGTGAAACAGTGAGTTTATTGCAAAGTATGTCCATCAGTAGTAGGAACAATATAGTCTATTATTGATCTCAATTATTTGACTAGACTGCCTCTTATACCTAATCTTCCGGAGACTGCTACAAGTGTTATCCTTGATTTTGATTCTTGTCAATGGTCATTTTGCTCTTGTTTTTGCAGGGGATTATGAGCTTGTTCCTTATTACAAGGGGGAAAACACAGTTTTTGACATATCACCACCCACTGTGGCTATATCTGTTGAGCATTCCCATGTTACTTTACAGCAGAAGTTCCAGGTACTATGACTTTGATGGCCTGTGTTTATCTTTAGTTGTTTACAGTTCTATACACACACACGTGCGCACACACACACACACACATATGCATGGATGTGTGTGAGTGTTTACTGGTATATGCGTGTGTTTACAGATATACTTTTAGCTCAGAAACAAACTTGGATTTTTCAAGGGGTCTGGCCTCCTGGACGTGAATGGCAGTATTGTAATTTGTCTCAATCTATATAACCCAAATTATCTGTCCTAATATCATAAACCTGCAAACTCTTTCCCTCTTTTCTGAACATGTTTGCTTCCATAAAAGTTTTGCATTTTTGAGTTATTCTATGATTACCTGATTTTTCTTGGGTCTATAATTGGAGATTATGCAGTGTTTTTATTATTTTTCTTTGATGTGTATTTTATTTATGAATTTAAGAAGTGTGTTCTAAAATTTGTTATTATATGAGTTTCAAGCTTTTTCCGTGTGCTGACGTGCTGAAGTTTCAATGATGTAGAAAGAAATTTGCAGAGGGGATTAGTGAATATTAGGGTCTAGTTCTGAATGTATTGCTTGCAAGAATCAGTTTTTTGTGTTGGAAGAACAAGGACTTTGGGTACTCCAACCCTTGCCAGCCCACAACAATCTCATGCCTTGTTTAATTTTCTCTTCTCTATACACATTCATATTTCAAAAAATTTTATTAGACAACCAACACCCTCTAACTAGGGTTGAATTAACCTATTATGGATTGAGTATTTTTGTGGAAAAGCTTGAAACTGATTGGATTGAAGACACAAAAACATTTCATGGATCCTTAAAATGCTAGTGAATGTTGAAAATCTGGTGTCATCACCATGTTTAATGTTTCCTGGTTCAGGTGTAGGCTACCTATGATTAGGTTATGCAACTGGTAATGGCTTATTGCTGGCAGCTGCATTGGCAGCTTAGCTACCTCGCTGGTTCTTGTGTTGAAGGTGAATGGGAGGGCATCTATGTGAACTGAGCTTGAGGGGGATTTTGAGTTTTTGATGTTTGATTAATTTCATAACAACCTGTTTTATTTACAAGAATGTTGTATCACTAATTTCATTTTGTGAAGTGATCTTACATGTTCCTAGATCTCATTGCCTTGTACTCTTGTTGATAGAGGGCGTGCACATTTTTGTAAGACAGATTTGAGAACTTAGGTCTCCACAATAACGTGTTATGGAGAAATACATTAGATTTGCAAGAGGAAATTGGGATATTGTCAATTTATGTCAATAACTAAAACTATGAATATCTCTCGAGGCTAAACGTCATCTGCTTTGTTGTGTGATGAATATTCTTGAATTTTTGTAATCCTTGAATCCTTGATTTATGATTTTTATCTTTTCACTTTTTGGTTCAGTTGTACAGGATTCTAAACTAATGTGTGGTTTTCATATTATTTCTTTAGGTGACTGGATTTTCAATAGGCGGTAGAGTAGTGGATGGAAATGGTGCTGGAGTGGATGGTGCTAAAGTTTTTGTAGATGGTCAAGAAAGATCTTTCACTGATGAAAATGGATATTTTACTCTTGATCAGGTATCTCATGCAAGTAACATGATAATTATACCTCTCATATGGAGGTTAATCTTCCCTTTTTTGAGTAGTATGCTTGAAGTGTCCAGCTGCAGTTTTTTTTTTTTTTTTTCCAGAGCTTGTATGATATATTGTTCAAGATTCTATTATTAAATTGTTTTAAACTAGTGGTTGTTGAGATTTAATTGGAATAGACATGATTCTGCACTAACATGTTCATCAAAAAATTTGCTGAAATTTAATGTGTTTCATCTATATTTCTCGCACTATAATTTTCTCATTCATTTGGTTGAACATGAACTTGGCCTTTACTTGTTTTTCAAGGTTCAATCTCCTGCCTTAACAATAATATGCTTTCTTGCATCTTAAGTGCTCTCTAGTAGCTACCAGCTTTGTATTTGCTGATGTTACTAATTATTTTCGTTTTTCATAAAATTTGCTGACTTTTGTTGGGTGCAGCGTTTTGTTATGCTGCCATTGGATATTTGTTTTATAAAGTAAACTAGAACTATATGCATGCATGACACTTTTTTTAATTTTAATATTTATTTTTTTGTTGTTAATATTTATTTTAACTATTTATTACAATTTTGTCACATATTATAAGGGAAAAGTGTTAATTATAACTATTTATTTGATATAATTTCTAAGGTCTTCTTGATGATAATTATTTCAGGTTACTTCTAATCATTATGCAATTGAAGCCCACAAGAAGCATTACAAGTTTGAAATCTTAAGGGATTTCTTGGTAAGAAACTCATACAACCCTTTTGGTAGGAGTTCATAAATGGCAGTAATGGTAATGGATTTATATGTAATTTTGTAAAGAAAGTCACATGTCCTTATCCATGGTAATGCTTGTTCACCACCAAATATCACTTTTTCATCATAAATTTTTATTACCATTCATTATCACTTTATTGTTGGTATTAACTATTAAGTGCTAATAAAAAAATATGAAGAAAATCACATATTTGGGTCGGAATTTCATTGCCATGGACATTGTATGTTACTTTTTCTTTCATAAATTAAGCACAGATCCATTGCCAATTAACACCTACTAAATGGGCTGTTAATTTTTTTTAGCTTGTTTTGAGCAGAACACCTTTATTTATTTATTTTTCCTTCTTTACTTATTTTTGTAATACATGATTACAGGGTAATGATTAACAGTTTTCATGATTACTTATGTTAATGCTAGGTTCTACCCAATATGGCTTCTATCCCTGATATCAGAGCAGTTTCTTATGATGTTTGTGGTTACGTGCGGATGGCTGATGCTGGATACAAGGCTAAGGTAGGTTCAGATTTTTCTCCTATGTGTGCATACTGTTAGAAGCCAAATGACTTATTATTATATCACTTGGTAAGTGGAAGCTGTCATATGTATCTTCTTCATATCATGTTAATTGGTTATTTACTTCTTCTTTGGTTCCTAACCTTGATAAGTTTTTGGGGATGTCTGAATGAAGCATGAGAAAAACGTATCATCTTTACTGTTCTTTTTCTTTTGTGTTGAGAGAGAGCTTTACTTGAGCGCTGTTGAAATTTTGGTTGCATGTGGAGTTTCTGGATGTGACTCTTCAAAGTAAAACATGGCTTGGCGAGTGTATTTTGGAACCTTTTTAGATCTCATCTTATCTGATATTTTGCTGGAAATTGACTCTCTTCACTTTTCTGCTAGCATTCCTCAATTAGCTTGATTTAAAACCTCATGCCTCTTTTCTTCTGGTGTCCTCATTGTTTTCCTGATTTGATTGATTATGTGAATACCTGAGTGTTTTTTTTATCCTGAAGACACCCATGTGTGCAATTTTTATGGAAAACTGTTGTAGCTAGCTCCTACCATCACTGATTCTCATTGCTGTCTCAAAACCATCCATTTCATCGACTTGCCAATTGAGCTTGTCCTTTACCGTTGCTCTGTATTGCTAATCAAACGATAAAAGTAAACGAATTCAAGGAGGCATATATGTGACTGTAAATCTTTAACATCCTAGACTATTATGTCCGTAGCTAACTGAAACTGGAACTGGAACTTTGTAGCCTTTATGCTCCTTGTTATGGAGACCGGAGAGCATAGTCAGGATTAAATGAGCAAAGAATCATACCGTATGTACGGACACTTAAGTTATACGAGGGAGGAGATTTGGGCTAAAACTGTTGGGCATCACATCTGAAGATATATTGGAGCACCCAATTCCAAAGGATTACTGATGCTCTAAATGGCCAAAGATTTCTTTATTTTCTAAAGGCAACTATTTCCTTTTTAAATAATACTTCCTCCATTTTTAATTACTTGACTGACATTCCTAAATTAGAAATGTCATGTTACATGACCAATACTTTAATTTGGTAAGCTTTTAGTAGTCACATTAACTGAATTACCCTTACAGTGTATACGAGGACAATCTTTTATGTGCTCTAAAAGGGTGATTAAGTAACCCATGTGAACCAACAAAAATTTCTTTCTCCTCTCCTTAAATATTGTGTTCGATTTTGTGGCTCTTTTAGAAGTTCTCTATCAACTGGTTTCCACTACCTAGAGTAAGATTGTGTAAATCTAAATCTCCTTGAAAGCTGTCAACACTGGTTTGTAATGGGATTCAAGTTTGCCAATAAAAAATTTCCTGGTTTGTAATGGCTTTTAATAAGGGATGCATTATTGGCTAATTCACCCAATTCAACTCTGAATTTCCCGAACCAAGGCATTAGATCACCCTGAATTGATCAAATCCAGGTTTTTATGGTTTTCAAAGGAATAAAGCGCATGCTCTAGTTTTTGTTGGGGAATTTGAGTATAAACAAGGGTCACAAAAATAACAAACAAATTAGAACGGAAAACTTCGAGGCGAACGGAATCACTTTCCCAAAAGTATAATTCCGACCCTATACTACAACCAGGTTTCACGGAAAATTACTTAGGAGATACAACGAAGAAACAATTGCAATCACAAGTAGGATGATTACAATTCAATGTATATAAGCCTTTGGATTTATGATGATAATGAGTTGCAAAGAGGTTTTCAAGAAAAATAAATTTCTGATTTTTCTCAAGTATATCCAACATATGTTCTTAGAACATATATATATTAAAGCATAATCTTTGCCAACAGCCACGAAAAATAACTGAAGATCCTTCAAGCAAAACTGACGAAACCGTCAGTTTCAACTTCCTCTTTGACACGCGCCCGATCGGGCAGAAATCGACGTCAAATCCAGGCGTCTTCTCGCGCCCGATCGGGCAGAAATCGACGTCAAATCCAGGCGTCTTCTCGCGCCCGATCAGGTGGCTGCCCCAAAATCCAGAAATAAATTCGTCAGTCCTTCTCGCGCCCGATAGGGCGGCGTCTGCCCGATCGGGCGGCGAAGAATGCAATTTCCAGGCCACCCTCGCGCCCGATCGGGCGAGCACCACCACGATCGGGCGGCTGACCGGGCGAAGTACAGGGGCAACAAAACAAAGTTTGAGTTCTTCTTTATCAACCTTCAATCAAGTTTATTTGCTTTAATATTCTTTATTAATTATACACAACACCTTTGCCTAAGTAATATAATTAATTAACATGAATTATGTCTCCAATTCTCAAAATTATTTAACAATCCTCCCCCATTTTGAGAATTTAAACTAGATACATTGCAAAAAACATCATCATCACAAAACAATCTTATGCATAAATGAAAGTGTACATAGACTTGAACTCCCACTTAGTGAAATATACAATTCAAGAATCCGTATCAATTTGGTATCGTAAAACGTTTGAACCAAAAGTAACACATCTGGAAACTTGAAGATATTACACACACAAGATTAATTACTTAAATACATATTAGCTTGACACTATAAGCCATGTGTCCATATCTATTCATAAGTACATCAAAGCTACACCCCTAATAGCTTCTTGAAGCAGCTAAACCTCGTACTTATATAGGTAGAGTTCCAACATGCTCATGTGACAAAGCACTTTTATCGGGAATTCTATTAAGTTTAAAACAACCTCTTTTCATCACAGAAAAACCGGAACTTTACCTTGGATGAATGAACAAGTTCCTAATCATCAATTAAGAGAATTAATCTCATTGAACTTAAGACCCAACGTCTTATTGGGCGTTAAGTTGAGATTCTCCTAATTGTGATTATTTAGGGTTCCAATCCTAAACCGATTGCCATCCTACTGTTAACATCTCTAGCCAATGCCTTTGTAAAACAATCGGCGAGATTAAGATCCGTTCGAACATAATCAATAGTGATCACACTATCCTTGATAAGTCCTTGGATGTAACTGTGCCGTATGCCAATGTGCCTTGACTTACCATTATAAACTTGGTTATAAGCCCTTGCCAAGGTAGCATTGTTATCACAATGTATCACTATTGGTGATATCGGTTTTGGCAACAAAGGAATCTCAAACATGAGATCCTTCAACCATTCGGCTTCTTTACCGGCCAAATGCAAAGCAATGAACTCCGATGTCATTGTGGAGTCCGCAATGCAAGTTTGTTTCTTTGAAGCCCATGAAATAGCACCTCCCCCATATCGGAAAACCCATCCACTTGTGGAGGAATGATCTTTGTTAGAGATCCAACTTGCATCCGAATACCCTTCTACAACCGAAGGATATCCACTATAAGACAAACCAAATTCCTTGGTTTTCTTCAAGTACTTCAACAAGCGTCGAACCGCTTGCCAATGTAGCATACTAGGCTTGCTAGTGTACCTGCTCAATTGACCAACTGCATAAGCAATATCACTTCTAGTACTTGTCATGGCATACATCAAACAACCTATTACTTTAGCATATTCAAGTTGTGAAACCGCATAACCTTCATTAGGTATCAACTTTATGCTAGGATTCATAGGTGTTGAATAAAGAGAAGTAGTGTCTTCACATACATTGAATTTCTTGAACACTTTCTCAATGTAATGAGATTGTGACAAGATCAACTTTCCTTTTTCCCTCTTTATCCTTATGCCCAAGATGACATCCGCTTCCCCCATGTCTTTCATGGAAAACTTTGAACTAAGGAATGACTTTGTCGACTTTGTCTTTTCAACTTGTGACAAATCAGTTCCAAAGATCAACATGTTACCTACATATAGACAAATTATGACACCTTGACCGTTGTCATCGAATTTGCTATAAATACACTTGTCTGAATTGTTCAACTTAAAACCATTAGACAACAAAACCTCATCAAATTTTTGATGCCATTGCTTAGGTGCTTGCTTTAGCCCATACAAAGACTTAATCAACTTGCAAACTTTTTCTTCCTGACCTTCCACAACAAACTCTTCCGGTTGTCGCATGTAAACTTCTTCCTCTAGATCTCTATTCAAGAATGCTGTCTTAACATCCATTTGATGGATCACAAGATTGTGGATAGCCGTAAGTGCTATCAACAATCTTATAGTTGAGATTCTAGCAACAGGTGCATATGTATCGAAATAATCGATACCAGGTTTTTGTGTAAAACCTTGTGCCACTAACCGGGCTTTGAACTTTTCAACCGTTCCATCAATCCTCAATTTCCTTTTGAAGATCCATTTGCACCCAATTGGTTTACATTTTGGTGGTAAAGTAGCTAAAACCCAAGTATTATTTCCCATGATGGATTCCATCTTATCATTAATAGCTTCCTTCCAAAATGGAGCATCACGAGACCTCATAGCCTCATCATAGGTCAAAGGATCATCTTCCACATTAAAAATGTATGGAAATTGTGTTGAAACAGATTCCCTTGATCCTTCAACTAAGTATACATGAAAGTCCGGGCCAAAAGATTTTTCTTTCCTTCTCCTCTTACTTCTCCTAGGTTGTAATGATAATGTAGATGCCTCCTCTAAATGAGTTTGGTCACCCACCTCTTGGTCAATAACAATTTGATCAATACTTTGAGCATTGACACTTGGAGTTATATCCTTTGGTCTAGGAATTGAAGAAAATCGATTTTCATCAAACAATGCATCCCTTGACTCAATGGTGGTGTGAACCGACCAAAAGTCATTTTGTTCTATTACATAGAACCTATAGGATTTGCTTTGATCCGCATATCCTATAAAAATGCATTCAACTCCTCTTTCACCTAACTTTTTACGTTTAGGTTCCGACACTTTTACAATTGCCCTACAACCCTAAACTTTGAGATGACTCAAGTTTGGTTTTCTTTTATACCAAAGCTCATATGGGGTTACATCTTTCCCTTTCATGGGAACACGATTTAACACGTAACAAGCCGTTAAAACGGCTTCACCCCAAAATCCATCACTTAAACTTGAATATGACAACATAGAATTTACCATTTCTTCTATTGTCCTATTCTTCCTTTCCGCTACACCATTTTGTTGTGGTGTATATGCCGCGGTAGTTTCATGTACTAAACCTAATGATTGGAAATAACTTGGGTCATAGTATTCACCTCCTTTATCAGTTCTTAGCTTTTTAATCTTATCATTGGTTTGCAATTCTACTTCACTTTTGTAAATTTTAAATTTATCAAGGGCTTCATCTTTAGAGAATAACAAATAAATGTAACAAAACCTTGAATAATCATCAATAAAAGTTACCAAATATTTCTTATTCCCTAAAGAAGGTGTGTTGTGAAAATCACACAAGTCACTATGCACTAATTCAAGCAATGAATTATTTTTCTCAACAACTTGAGGAAATGGTTTCCTTGTGATTTTGGTTAACATGCATGTTCTACACTTCTCTATTCTTGGATCAAACACAGGTATCATATCATGCTTTGACATAAAATATAACTTTTTATAATTAACATGACCAAGTCGCAAATGCCATAGAGAAGAATTATCATTAACAACATACACTACATCATTCAAAGTATTTGAAATACTTAATTTAAACATACCATTACACAAATACCCAAGTCCTACAAATTGATCTCCTTTAGACAAAATAAATTTATCTGACTCAAACACCATCTTAAAACCTAATCGATTCAAGATCGCACCAGATACAAGATTCCTCCTAAGTTCGGGAGAATACAACACATCTCTTAAAATAAGAGATTTTCCCGAACTAAAGACTAGCTCCACTTGTCCTTTGCCAAGCACCTTAGCTGTAGAGTCATTGCCCATATAGAGAATTTCTCCATCAGCAACCTCCAAGAAGGTCTTGAACAATGATCTATCATTGCACACATGCCTCGATGCTCCCAAATCGATATACCACGAACAATCAGCCTTGTTTGTCTTGGGATTGGCTAGCATTGCCATTCCCATCTTGAGCCTTCTTGCTCATCCTTTTCTTCCAGATTGTGCAATCTTTCTTGAAGTGACCGGGTTTTCCACAAACCCAACAAGCACGTGACTTTGAATCATCACCGCTTAACTTAGGCTTCTTGCCTTTATTTTTGTTTGAGTCATTACCCCTTTTTCTCACATTTTGTTTGGCATCCTCCACTACATTTACCGTAGTAGAGCTAGGATTTCCATCCTTATTTCCCTCTTGCAACCAGATTTCTTCCTCAATCCGGATGTGAGAAGCCAAACTCTCAAGGTTAACATCATTCTTCCTATGCTTTAAACCACTTTTAAAGTCTTTCCAAGAAAAAGGTAATTTGTCTATTATAGATGACACTACAAAGGTCTCATCAAGAACTATGTTATGCTGTCTAAGACTTTCTAAAATTCTTTGTATCTCATGAAATTGCTCCATAACAGGCCTACTATCAATAATTTTATAATTATTAAATTTACTAACAAGAAACTTTTTGCTAGAAGCATGTTCAGCCATATATTTAGCCTCTAAATCATCCCATAGAGACTTAGCAGAATCAATAAACTGATAGATATCAAATATGACCACAACAAATGTAATTGCCGTTTTCCCACTTGTTGCGTTTCCTCACTTCATCCATTGTTTCCTCCTCCTTTTCCTCGGGTTTCGGAGTAGCAAGAACATAAGCCACCCCAACTGTAGTAAAAAAGAAATGCATCTTCCTCTGCCACCTTCGGAAATCAACACCTTCGAGTTTGTCCAACTTTTGAATGTTGGCCATTAATTCCTTAACATTTGCCATCTTTGTCAATTATACTTTTGGATTGTTGGGGAATTTGAGTATAAACAAGGGTCACAAAAATAGCAAACAAATTAGAACGGAAAAACTTCGAGGCGTGAACGGAATCACTTTCCCAAAAGTATAATTCTGACCCTATACTACAACTGGGTTTCACGGAAAATTACTTAGGAGATACAACAAAGAAACAATTGCAATCACAAGTAAGATGATTACAATTCAATGTATATAAGCCTTTGGATTTATGATGATGATAATGAGTTGCAAAGAGGTTTTCAAGAAAAATAAATTTCTGATTTTTCTCAAGTATATCCAACATATGTTCTTAGAACATATATATATTAAAGCATAATCTTTGCCAACAGCCACGAAAATAACTGACATCCTTCAAGCAAAACTGACGAAACCGTCAGTTTCAACTTCCTCTTTGACACGCGCCCGATCGGGCCCGCTGCCGCCCGATCGGGCGGAAATCGACGTCAAATCCAGGCGTCTTCTCGCGCCCGATCGGGTGGCTGCCCCAAAATCCAGAAATGAATTCGTCAGTCCTTCTCGCGCCCGATAGGGCGGCGTCTGCCCGATCGGGCGGCGAAGAATGCAATTTCCAGGCCACCCTCGTGCCCGATCGGGCGAGCACCACCACGATCGGGCGGCTGACCGGGCGAAGTACAGGGGCAGCAAAACAAAGTTTGAGTTCTTCTTTATCAACCTTCAATCAAGTTTATTTGCTTTAATATTCTTTATTAATTATACACAACACCTTTGCTTAAGTAATATAATTAATTAACATGAATTATGCCTCCAATTCTCAAAATTATTCAACAGTTTTGTCTTCCATGGCTTCATCTTGTAAAATAAGGGTGGAGATGAAGGCCAATGCTTCATTGGGTAGAAGAGAGAGAGAGAAATGAGTTATCTTGTGAGAGAATAAGGTTGTGATTTAAAGAGTATTCCAGATGTGAGGTTTTCTGGTCTGTACACCTGGTGGGGATTTCTTTCCTTCACAGAATCAGGTCTCTCTACGTCCAATGAATTAATGGAAATAGCAAAAGCAGTTAGACCTTTGGTGTCACTTTCAAGTTTGACCATTGAACCTTTTTTTTTTCTTTCAAGAACTCATTACTCGGGTGTATGAGATCATTTAATACATGGTAAACAGAGAGTTTACTTCCACAATATTTAATTTGTTCAAGGACTAAGTTTATTTTTTTTTTCTCTCAATAAAATTTAATTTTTCTCAAAGTACAATAGTACAAGTAGTACACACTTATTGTAATTAAACTCTAAGGCTTAATTAAAATATTTAGAACCGCGACAATCGTGATCCTAACTGTGTCTACCATAACCGCAACTTTTTCCACAATATTGGCCAAACCTGCATTTTGAACCATTTTCAACATCAGCTTTTTTGTTTGTGCTCCTGTTTCTACTTATGGTTTGACTTGAATTTAAAGGTCCTACCTTTTTAAAGCATTTCTTCTTCACTTTAAGAAAGAAAAAAAAAAAAAAAAGCATTTTTTGTTCCACTTGTTCTATGACAAGTTGTTCAGAGCATTTGCTGCATAATAATGTCATATCCTGTCATGACCTCATGACATGGGTAATTGTTGTGTGATAATGTGATATCATATTTTTGTGTTTTTCCCCTATTGGCCCTTTAACTTATTTGGTTGAGGATGTTTTTCCCCAATTGGCCCTTAAACTAGTTTTTCCCTTACTAGACAAATCCTCGGCTTTGAAATATTCAGGAATAGAGAGATATTCAGAGGGTTTTAAGTTTTTATTCTTCATATTTTTAATGTAGGCGCACCTGGTTCTTTTATTGTTTTGTCAGGAAATTGTGTCATCCTTTCTGATTGAGCATGTATTGGTATCCTACTAATGTCTATTATTACAATTGTTGATATTTTTGATTCTACTTATTGTATTTATTAAATTGTAGGTAGCTTTAACCCATGGACCAGAGAATGTTAAACCTCAAGTGAGACAGGCAGATCAAAATGGAAATTTCTGTTTTCAGGTGTGCTTGAAATGATTCAACTTCCTTTTACCTATTTTTTAAGCATATCTTTCCTGATAATTAGATGTAACATGTTGATAAGTCCTTATGGTTATGCAAACATGGATTGTTAGCAACCTGATTATTGCATGAACCTGCATAGTTGCTTGTTTTCACTCTCTTATGTGTGGCATCAGTTTCTTTCATTCCATTCCAGTTACAGAAAATGGAAGCTATAACTCTACTTGGCATTTAGAGTTGATTTTTGCCCTGCAGGTTGAAATTTGACTGACAGTAATGAAATCAGTGGTCTGAATATTCTTGTTTTTAAAGCTTTGCTGGAAATTAGACATATTCTTCTTGTTTAAATATGAAAGGAAATTATTATCTGTGAGTTTGATCCAATTGCAGATGGAACCTGGAGTTTTATGATAATTGTGAAGATTCCAGTATTTTTTTAAAAAAAATTCTTTGTTGTATTTTTTTTTTTTTTTGGTAAAATCCCATTACAAAACAATTGCTTGTAACTGGGTGTGAAGTAAATTAGCCACTGCCTAGGATATCGGGCCAATAAAAATTCTTTGCTTTGGTTCTGATGCTAAGATGTTGCTGATTGGCTTATGCAATGATGTTGATGGTAACTTAACTATGTCTATTATCTGCAATATGTAGCTTTTAACCTCTTGTTTGTCTTATTGTTGCTGTCTGGTTATGAATCATTCATCGTTGCATATTTGCAGTCCTAAACTCCTAATTGATCTTCTGGCTAAAGTCAAATTGATTTTCTCTGATTTGACCTATTATATCTGACTGACTTGTTTTAAACAATCATATCTCACTTTTACATTATGCAGGTTCCACCAGGTGACTATCGTCTGTCTGCCATGGCATCTACACCGGAGAATGCTCCGGAACTTGTGTTTTTGCCTCCTTATACTGATGTCAGTGTTAGAAGTCCACTTTTGAATATTGAATTCTCTCAGGTAGGTCATTCTCCATAAATTTCTAGTCGTATGACATGTATATGATTTCTTTTGGTTTGTTTCCCTGAATATTTACTTACGCTTTTAGCTTAATTATTTGTGCTTAACTTATGCTCTAACCATCTCCTCATAACACATATAAGTACAATTTTGATGTTGGCTGGAGTGCTAGGGGCAAGTATGAAATTTCATTGGAAGTTTGTCCACTTTGTTTTAAATTGATGCTTTATATGACCTCTGCTTTGAGTTCCTGCTTCATTTGAGTAAATCTGCTCTTATTAAGCAATAGAATGTTTTATCGGCATTATCTGATTTACAAATTAACAAACTTTCAGGCACAAGTGAAAATTCACGGAGAGGTCGTGTGTAAGGAGAGATGTGGCTCATCTATTTCCATCACACTTGTGAGACTGGGTAAAAGTAACAAAGGGAGGACGGTCAGATTGACTGATGAGCATAACAAATTTACTTTTTTGGATGTCTTCCCTGGAAAGTACAGGGTTGAGGTATATTACTTGCATTTAGTCTTTCATCCTATGAGGTCTAGAAACCATCATTACTAAAAATCATCTTCACTCCTTGCAAATGCAGAACGTATTGTCATGTTGTTTTTGTTTCACACTTTGCTTTTACTTTATGCTATGCAATTTGTTTGGTGAAGATATATTTCAACTATTTAAGAGGGTGAAGCAGATTGCTATTTTTAGGGTACCTGTTAATTTTTTGTTAGATTTTATTTAGTGCTTTCAATGATTATTCATTCAGAATAATGTGAATATACCTCATATTTCTACAGTGATAAAGGTTCCTTTTCCTTTTCCTTTTTGTTTGGCTGTTGGGATGACAAAGATCCACATTCTCATGTTTTGAGATAGCAAAATGCTATTTTAATTTAAAATTAGTTGTTTTTTTTCCTATCATATGCAATATTAATGACTTCGTACAAAGTAAGCTATTAATTTCAGGTGAATGTAGATATCTAATTGAAAGCAAGAACCTTGAATAGATGGTAAAATAAATTCTGTTTTAACAACTGTACAAAAGCCATGCAAATATCTGTGCTAATTTATGATCTAGGTTGAAGAATGTCAGATTCATTACGTATCTGTCTCCAACCTTGGAACACATGTGTGTGAAGTACTCTCAAATTCCATTTTGGCATGGATGCAATTCTTTCCATATTTTTATTATAACTTGCAGATCCAAACTGTGTTACTTGGTTATTTCGTAATTGTGTAGCATGGTCTGCAAGGACTACATGACACAGCTGATACCTGATTTAGCATTCTAGAACTAGTGATTTACTGTGAAATGAGATCATGCTGTGATTTTCTCCATAATTATTTTGTGTTTATGCTCATGTGTCACAGTATATCCATTTTATGCACATACTGTGCATTACTTTGTTCTGATCCCTTTGAAATTATTTAGTATGGTCATGGTTTATTGCAATTAAACTGCTATGGTGGAATGTTCATCACAAAATATTTCATGTTCAAGGCTTTTTATACTACGTATTTATTTTATTTTATATCTTTACATTTTTTTAAATTTATGTGGTACTTAAACTTCAAACAAATGCTGTTTAATTATTTATTTATAGCCTTTTCAATTAAGGTGTGGGACAATTGTAATTGTGATGGTTTTGACTCAGATGTGTTCCTATTTAATTGGAATTCTTTCTTTCTGGTAATGTATTTACACACTAGGTCAAGTATGCTCCTGCTGATACTGCCATAGAAGAAGATAGATGGTGTTGGGAGCAGAGTTCTATTGATGTTGATGTTGGCACAGAGGATGTTGAAGGGATTTTGTTTTCTCATAAAGGTTACTGGGTTGATGTTACTTCTTCACACGATGTAGATGCTAGGATGATTCAGCCAGATGGAGAGTCTCTGCCTTTGAAAATTAAGGTTGTTATAAGCACTCAGCCACATACCCTTATGTAGAGTTCTTAAGCCTTCATTGATTGGTCATTGACTTACTGTAACCTAAAATAGTTAACTTAAAATTTTCTCCTACAGAAAGGCTTGCAGCGCTTGTGTGTGGAGTCTCCAGGGTTAAATAAATTAGAGTTTGTCAACTCTTGCATTTTCTTTGGGAGCTCTTCCATCAACATTGATACAGCAAATCTGATGGTGTGTTGCTTATTTAACTGTTTAATTAAAGTGCTTTTTTTAACTTCTTTCTGCTCAAATTTTATTTGTGACCATTTTTTTTTTCAACTTTATATGCAGCCTGTTCACTTGAAAGGGGAGAAGTATCTTGTGAAAGGACAAATCAATGTTGATCGTACCTCAGTGACATCTGTTGAACTTCCAGAGAGCATTGTTATTGATGTCTTTGAAAATGGCAATGTTCTTGCTGATGGGACAATTGCCAAGCTTTTACCTGATCAAAGTGATGAAACAGAGGTTGCTCTATATAAATATTCTATGTGGGTAAATCCTGGGCAGAAAATTACAATTATTCCAAGTGAATCAAGGTATATCTCCCATTCCAATGTATATGAGGCATGTACATTCCCATGCATTTGTTTATGGTTAGGAATGTCGTATATTTGTAAGATTCTTTATTTATTTATTTTGTGTGTGTGTAAATTTCAAACTAGGCTTATGTGTTATGTCTTAATTGTGACCTTATGAATAATTCTTACTTAAACTAAGTGTCTTGCTTTGTCAGCTCCTTAGATGAGCCATGAAGGTAAGAATATTGAAATTAAAGAAATCTCTTCTGGCAGAAGGTGATAATTATTTTGTACTTGGGAAGTGCTGGTAAAATTGAATCTGATGAAGGGTCTATTTAATATTCATGAGCTTTTCTGGTCCAAAAGTTTCACTTTTTTTAAAAAATATAATATAAGGAAAAGATTGGAGAGCTAGTTCTATCCCAACAATATCTTATGTGGTTATCATTAGAGAGACACTTTAGAAAGCTCTTCGCCAAGAACCACCAACTTTTTCTTAGAAAGCTAGTTCTACCTCTTTCATGTATGACATGTGCATGTCTTTTCAAATTTTTGGCCCACAATTGGGTTGATCTCCATGGTAAGATAGAAACCCTTTTTTTGGGTTTTTTTGGGTATGCATCTTCAGGATATCTTGTACAGAGAGTGGAGATAAGCATTATTTTTGTAAACTTTATAACACAAAACAGCAGGAAATACGGTTGCCCATCTAGTGGCAAGATGGGATACCCGTAGTTGTGCTGAATTTGTTTGTATTGGAAACATACCACAAGGCCTCCTAGCCTTAGCGGATCTTGATTTGGATTAAAATCCTGCTATTGCCTTTCCTCAAAAAAAAAAAAAAAAAAAAAAAAAAAAAAAAAAAAAAAAAAAAAAAAGAAAAAAGAAAAAAGAAAAGTCTTTCTCTAATGCAGTTTGTTTTCCATGATTCCATCTATTGAATCACCAATTTGAAATTAGAATGCCATGTCATCAAGCTAAGCTGTGCATTGAATATCCTTAGAAACTTTGTCGTCTTAGTTTTAGTTTTGATACATTAGTATAACTATGTACATTAGCATTAAGCCACACTTTCACCTTATTTTTACTGATTCTATGGATAAAAACTTATTTGTACTTATTGAAACCGATTTTCACAGATTAAAACTTATTTTTACTTATTGGAACTGATTTTTTACTGATTTAATGTACCAAATAAAACTTATTTTTAATAATTCAAACAGATTTTTTACTGACTGAAATTCATTTTTAATACTTCCTCCATTTTTATAATATTGCACCACTTGCCTTTTAATGAAGTTTCACAGATATTGCACCATATCCATTTTAGGAAAAGAAATATTTGTGTTCACACTATAAATACCTAATATACCCTTGCTTTTCAACACTTACTTTTCATTTTGAATATATAATCACATGGGCAACTTTGTATTTCTACCATTCTCTCTCATCCTTTTTTCCACTACCAAAAAATTTGTGTCAAGCTCTTATGGTGCAATAATAAAAGAACGGAGAAAGTAATAAAAAAATAAAAAAAAATAAAAAATTGTTTTTTACCTTTTAAAGGTGAAGAGAACATTATCATAGTGAGCATGACCTGTCTTGGATTAGAACCATGGAATGACTGGTTTTTACGAAGGCCAGGGTTTAGCTCTCGTTAAAGATATTGTCCATTCTGACCTATCACACATGTTATAATGTACAGTAAATGAGTGGGAATTTTACCATAAATAAGTTAGTGTAGAAAATGTTGTTTGGGTTCATGTTCATTGATGACCAAAGAGAATAATATATGGGATAAACCTAAATAAAGAGGTGGACGCTTTAGATAGAGTGAGTGTAATTTAAAATACAAAGTACATAATTCTAATTTGGATTGAACTTATTTGGTTCCAAAACATGTTTTAACTTAAATTATGTTTCTGTAAATTTCATGAAAAAGGTCTCTGACCAATCATCATTTGCCTTTATTCTTCCTTCCTCTGTTGTTATAATTTTGCTCCTTCAAAACCATTTTGTTTCTGATTGACTTGTGTTTGCTGCTGCAGAACCTTGACTTCAGCCACATCTTCGAGTATAAATCGTTTAAAGAAAATTTTGTTCTACCCTAGACAACATCAGGTAAGCTGGGAGTGGTATGTTATAAAGATTCTCTTTCATGGCTTCCTAACCACCTATATTTTTCAGATCGCAGTTACACATGATGGTTGCCAAGGCTCAGTTCCTTCATTCACTGGTCGATTGGGTCTCTATATTGAAGGATCTGTTTCGCCCTCTATATCTGGTGTAAGTATCAGGATAATAGCTGCTGGAGATAGCCATAATGCTCCACTTAAGAAGGGTGAATTAGCTCTTGAAATTTCAACTGGATCTGATGGTGTCTTTGTAGGGGGTCCTTTATATGATGATATAAGTTACACCTTGGAAGCTTCAAAGGTTAGTTATCTCCTATAGTGATTTATCATTGTAATTGTGAAACCAATGTAATTAAGTTAATGTCGTGTTTAATGAATCTGTAACACTAAAATCTGTAATTGTCATCTGCGTTTTGATGCTGGTGCGTGTGCTGCTAAGATGACAATTGCCTATCTTCTTTCTTTCATGGATAATATTACACATGATAGCCTGAAGTATCCTGGATTGTATGAAATTATGAATGACACCCTCCTTAGGTTCTTATTACAATAAAATAAAATATAAAGAAATGAAATGAATAACTAATCCACTTTTAATCCTTTATTGTTGAGGTAGGAGTTTTGTGGAATTCGTTATAAGGGTTTCTTGAGGTCATCAATCAGCCCCTGGGTAGATTATGAATGATGGATTGGAATGGTCAATGTGTGCTTATTTATGTAGTCTCATGACTCATTAGACTATTCTCTGGCAAACCCAATTGTTTATTAGATTGAAAACGAAAAACACAATTATAATACTTGACACTTTGACTATATCCTGCAGCAACCTGATTATTATGCACGATAGTTCTACTTGTAAAAAATGCACTCTGGTTTTGAGAAACAACCACTGCTTACTCCGCATTCAACCTCATGCTTAGCGTTTAGTAATGGCTTTATATGGTACAGAACAAACAATAGGTCTAAAGTCCAACATTGACACAGGGATAACAGAATATGGAATATAGTGAAGTAGTGTTGATTTGACCTAAACCTTAACACTAGACAAAATAACAAGCACTGCACAAGTCGCACTATCTCTCACAACTGGCCTCTTAGGAAGATGCTATCCCATGTTTTCATTGTGTTTATTTAGTCATCTACTGTTTGTAAATTGTAAATTCAAAGACATGATGAACATTAAAAGTTGACAGTTTTTTATTTAATAGTTGAAACATTATGTTTTGCCTACTTATTCATTAGTAGAGTAGTCATTATTGGGTAATTATCTTTTGCCTACTTGGTGGATCATAATGAGTTTCCTATTCCTTGCAGCCTGGCTATCATCTGAAAGCTGTTGGACCTCATTCCTTTTCCTGTCAGAAGCTTGGTCAAATATCTGTGCATATATACTCTAAAGAAGTCACCGAAGAGCCATTTCCTTCAGCTTTATTATCACTAAGTGGTGATGATGGCTACAGGAACAACTCCATTACAGGAGTTGGTGGCCATTTTGCTTTTGAGAACTTGTTCCCTGGAAGTTTCTATCTCCGCCCTTTGCTAAAGGTACATCCTCGATGCTCATTGACCTATTACAGGCAATAATCTGTCATTTGATCTTATGAGTAAGTCTTTGTAGTGGTTACATTTAAAAACTTAAATGATCTGTTAAGATCTTTTTCTTTTCCTTTTTTATAAAATATTTTTTTATTGTTATTACTATTCATCTAGATTGTGGCATATTTTGAATATGATATAGTTTGAGAGTCTTTAGTCAGGACTTAAGCTTCTCAGATTGAGATTATTTCCTTTACTTGTTTCTGTTGAGTAATTTCTTCTCGAGGTGTTGGGATGGGGTCATTTGGTTCTATTGAATTATGGTCTATGCTTGACAACCAATGACTTAGTCATTATAGGAATGATAATCTATTGCATCGGCTGTTCCTAACTTGATAATTGGCTGCTGGTTTCGTGATTTGTATGCATTGCTCTTTGAGGCTTATGTTTATGCAACCTTCTGCAGGAGTATGCTTTCTCTCCACGTGCACAGCCAATTGAACTTGGATCAGGAGAGTCTAAAGAAGTTGTTTTTGAAGCCACTCGTGTTGCTTACAGGTTTGACATTATCTTTGGTGGATTTGCATCATATGTTAACACTTTGATAGAGGGGGTGCTTATTATTCATGGTAAATTGCCCTTCAGTCCATGTAAATATATATATCTAGTACCAATCACATTTATGATTGCAAAACACTAGTGTGTGTCTCACAAGCTCAAACTAAATAACCTGTTGGTTCTAATCATAAAATGGAATCTTGGACATAAATATGATAATTTTGAAACGGAAGAATTTGATGATCATTGGAATAAAATAGAATGATGAGCGCTAGAAGATCTTACCTAACCAGTGAAAACCTTCTGAAGTAGAAGAGCTCTTTGTATGTGCTGCTTGTGGATCAGCATGCCTGCATGATGGGTAGACACAAAGGAAGCTAACCTATTTGATATCCTTTGTTCTGGACAGAAAAGGGCAGTCTGAAGGTTTTCATAGCGAGAGCAAGAATCTCAATATTGGTCTTTCCATGCTTCTTTCAGATGATAGTTTTTCTTTTATATGGTCTGAACTAGTACATTGGTTAGCAATTTATCGTAACACCTATGAGAATAACCTAATTTTTCTTTATTAAGATGATGAAGATGGCTCTACCAGGCAATTCGATTAGCGTTTTACTTGTGTTGGTTTTGCACTCCTTAAAATCCTATCTCATATCTACTTACATTCCCTTGGATCTAAAAGTTTGCTTCCTGTAGTGCTATGGGCATGATTACTTTGTTGTCCGGCCAACCTAGAGAAGGTATCTCAATTGAGGCACGAGCAGAATCAAAAGGCTATTATGAGGAAACAACTACTGATTCATTCGGATTCTATCGATTACGAGGACTTCTGCCAGACACAACCTATATAATCAAGGTAGCTAAAAAGAATGATTTACCCGGGGCTGGAATTGAGCGCGCATCTCCAGAATCTATCACTGTGAAGGTATGTCTTATATCATTTGCAACTGGTAAAGTCGAGCCCTTTGTTATGGATGAAAAACCTACCCCACCTCTCTTGTGTGGTTATAAAAATAATGAACACTTTATTATTGATTATGCTTATTCAAAGTGAGATTCATTCTTGTTGACTTGAGTATATGCTGCTATGGTTTAGATTGGGATTTGAAATTTAAGATCCTTTTACAGCTTTAGTGTTGACTTCACCTCTTCCTACCAACAGATATACTATCTTGGGTTTCTTGTTGAAATTGTATTTGCCTAGGACCCTAGTATAGCACAACTGAATCTCCATTCTGAAATCGTAAAGGGAGCACGTGTTTTATACTCATAAGCTTTCCTTGAGACTTTTTCTAATATACGTAGTATATTTGTTCTTACATTCATTGATGTATCGATTTGCTTTCCACTGATTTGATCTTAGGTTGGCTTTGAGGATATCAAGGGGTTGGACTTTGTAGTTTTTGAAGAGCCTGAGAGAAGCATTTTGAGTTGCCATGTTGAGGGTGAAAGAAATGCTGAATTAGATTCTCATCTTTGGGTGGAGGTCAAGTCAGCTGGTGAGCCATCAAAAGTGAAGTCTTCCTTTCCCCTGCCACTATCACGCTTCTTCCAGGTTAAAGACTTGCCCAAGGGTAAGCACCTGCTGCAGCTTCGATCTGCTCTCCCTTTAACCACCCACAAGTTTATATCAGACGTTATTGAGGTCGACATAGAGAAGCATAGACATATACATGTTGGCCCTCTCCGATACAGAATAAATGAGGATATTCAAATACAGGTTGGTGCCAAGCTTAATGGACTCTTGAGACTAGCTCTGTTTCATATCTGGGGAACTAATGTTTGTTTTTACAATTTACTTGCTACTTTTTTTCTCACAGGAATTAACGGCAGCCCCAGTTTTCCCTCTTGTTGTTGGAGTTTCGGTGATACTTCTTTTCATGAGTATACCAAGGTAGTGCTATCCACCGGGTGTCCCTCCCAAATTCCTCTCCCTTCACTTCTTAGAGACTCATTGTCCAGAGATTCCATCTTTAGTAACATTTTTTTTTATCCTGGTACTCTACAGAATAAAGGATTTAGTCTCAGGAATATCCATGCCGGGATCCACTTCAACTGCAAAGAAAGAAGCAAGGAAGCCAGTTGTGCGAAAGAAGACATTTTGATAACTCTTTCTCCTTGTTCTTGAAAAGCAACTGCAATATACGTATAAAGAATTATGACAATCTGGTTTGATGAAGATTTGCCTTGGGTGAGAAGACCGATGAGCAGACATCTTCAAAAGAATGAACTCAGGTACTCAGTTGCGGCTAAGTAGCCGAAGACAAAGGGAAAATGTAAAAGCTTGGAACCTGCCAAAAACATGAATTTTGCTTCAATAGATTTATAGAATTAGTTCTGTTAGATTCTGTAGACATTTTTTGTAACATAACTTATTTCCCATGCCATTTTGCCAACAAGGGACTGTAGAGGTTAGATGATTCTGTACCTAGCCGCCTCGGTTGTAGCCATAGTGTAATTGATGGTTGAGCCAACCCAAAAAAAAATAATACGTAGAAAAAATTCATTGCTTGTTTTATGGTGCCATGAATTGATTAATCGTGTTTGATTTATTCTAGTATTGTTTGTGATTGAGGCTTGCCCCTCTCTTTCACCAAAAAAAAAAAAAAAAAAAAAATATTGTTTGTGATAACAGGAGGAATCAAGGAAAAATACTTCCAATATTGCAAATATGTTCCATTATTTTTTAACCATCTAACAGTTGCCCCTCGTAGTTGGGTTGTTTTTTTCTTTTGTTTTTTGGTTTTGGTACCTTACCCTTCTCATAAATTCACAGTAATACAGTATACCCTTTCTAATCATGTACATGGTCAACGAACCAATTTTTTTATTTTTTATTTTTATTTATTTTATTTATTTATTTATTTATTTATTTATTTATTTATTTATTTATTTATTTATTTATTTATTTATTTATTTTTGTTATTTATTGTTCTCTAAACACCTAATACAATACATACTTTTAATTTTGCCAACAATTACTTTGTTTCTATCTTGGTACTAGTAACTTGTGGTTTTGTGTAATTTTCCGTCTAAGTGGCTTATATATAATGATTTCAATAATTAACCTTTAAATTAAAGCCTTAATTTAGAATTGAAAAGTAGAGTGGAGGACAACTCGGTTGGACCGAGCTTCTTGGTCCCATGGGATCTTGAAATTGATTTTCATCATCTACCCTTTGTGGCTTTTTAAACACACACACACAAAAAAAAAAAAAAAAAAAAAAAAAAAAAAAAGAGGGGATTGTAAAATATGATTTTACAAAATTATAATTCCTCCCTTTTTTTAGTTGTCACCCTTTGACTTTTACAGTATACTAGTTTCTTTTTTTCATACGCTCGCGTGCAGTGCGTTGTTGGACCAAGGAAGCCAGGGCTGTCGGCCAGGGACCCCAAATCAAAATCTCCGTTTCTATGAAAAATGTTTAAGCCATAAAGTTTAATCTCCTAAAATGTTAGACAAATAAATAAACTAGCGCAACGGTCATAGAAAGTTGTTAACTTTGTTATAGTTGAATTTAATTAGCTTTGACTTTTGGGTCATTCATGTTTTTGTTTCATTTTTCAATTCGGCTTCTTTCTTTAATTTTAATCTACTCTCCTTTCTATTTTAACCATTTTTTTTTTTCTTTTTTTTTTTGGGAAATTTTATAAGAACTCTTTATTTTTTACTTGTTTTCTTCTTGTATTTGTTTCAATTTTCCCCCTTATTTTTTGAGCCTTTTGAGTTTTATTTTTATAGTCGGCTTCCAATTCTCTTATTTACTATTCTCTTATCCCTTTGTACAAAAACAATTTGAGGAAACAAAGGATATATTATAAAAGTATGTAAAATAAAACTAAAACGTTAACGACATTTTAAAACACCAAAAATAGAATACATGAAGTATAAACTGAGATAAATAGGGTATAAAATTTATAATAAATCTTATAAAAAGTATAATAACACTATTTTTTTTAGTCTATCCAAGGTACATATATGATACTCCCAAATCTTACCCTACTAACTTTTTTCAAGTGTTTTTTTATTATTTTTTCTTTAATGAATTTTATAGAATAACATTTTTATTTGGACTGTAGCGTATTCGCACTTTAAGTTAATGCTATTTTTAAATATAGTGTTTAAGAAATTGAATGTATATTTAGTATATTTCGCAAATACCCAAATTTATTGGGCCCCGAATTAGTTTGCTCTTAGACCCCTAAAAACTGAGAAACAACCCTGTGCGCGCGCACCACCTTGTAAATTTAAATTAGGGTGTCAGTAGTGAAGAATCAAATTTGATTCAATATTAATATTTTTCGATTTAATTTATGGTATTAAGAAATTTAAACTATTTGAATGAGTATGTAACATTTAGTCATTTTTAAATGAAATAGGTTTCAAATTGTTTGTATTGCATGCATCATTTTCAGTATGTATTATTATGTATATAATTAGGTCAACAATTTAGATAACTACTCATTAAATGCATATCCTTCATTGTGTATTATTGACTTAGGGTCTGTTCACATTTACTTAATTTCAGTTCAGTTCAGTTTAGCTTTAATCAGTTCAGTTCAGCTCCTAATTTTTCTCTCTCATAAAATATTCATTTCAGCTCAGTTAAGTTCAATTCAGCTCCAATCAGTTCAGTTCAGTTCAGTTCAGCTCCAATCAGTTCAGTTCAGTTCATTTCAGTTCAGCTCCAATCAGTTCAGTTCAGTTCAGCTCGGTTCAGTAAATGTGAACATGCCCTTAGTTGTATTATGAAGGTTCATATTAGTTTAAAGTGTTTCATACTTGTAGACACCCAAATGTGTCTCCCAAAAACCAAACCAGTGATGAATATCTTTCACGTCATTTGATTATCGAATGAAGTAAAAGTGTGAAAAGTCTAGTGATGTGGATGTTTTTATTAAGATATCTTTCTTTCTGTTTTGAAAATGTTTCTTCTTACACTCTATTTATGAAAATAGGCAGTCCAATCTAGTTTGGTCCATGATAAGGGTCCAAAATAGTGTAGCTGGATTGGGCTCGAAGAGAGCTTTTCAATAATATATTATAAGCCCAATTCTAATGAATAATGAGGAAGTTATGGATTAAATTAGATTTGACCCAAAATGATTTTATATGTGGCCGAACGATTTAGAGGAGGGCCTATTAATTATTATTCCTAAAGCTATTAGTATTGATTTTAATCTTCTAGAATATCTAGAAGGTTCCTGTAAATTCTGATGAGATTAGGATTAATAATTATATTTTAAAGAGTTTTATTTTGGATAAAGTATGTGATTTGTCACAAACATGATTTTAATCTGATCAACGCGGAATAAGCTTCTTAATCGTATTAAGAAGAGGATTCCCGTGGAAGCGCGTTTTAATTTGACTTAGCGCCAGACGACAAGGCTGTCGCCTGGCGCTAAGCCTGTTGTCTGGCGCTAACTTCTGTCGTTGGCGACAGGAGGTATTTTATTTCGAATATGACTTGATTTGATTTCGGGCTATTTTTTCTATAAATAGGGGTCGTATCTCTCGTTTTTATTCATTCACAACCATCATCTTTCTCTATTCTCTCTCTAAAAGCTAGAAGCTTTCTTTCTCTCTATTCTTTTTCTAAACCTTCCCTCTCACAAAATTCCACATTCATTAGTTCTAGACACACCTAGCCAAGTTAGAAGTTGTCTTTTCCCTAGACGTGAAAGGTTGATAATTTCTGAGGGTTTGGTCCCAAACTCTATTTCAATTTTTTAATTTAATTGTTTGATTTATTATTTTCCTTGAAGTTACTAACACGTGTATTTTGTTATTAGAAAGAGATACAAGGTATCGAAGTAAGTGATTTAATGCTTTATTATTCTTTTGATATAGGAAGCATGCTTGATTATTTTGATTCCTAGTATCATGTTAGGATGTTTTATTGCTTCCTAATATCATGTTTAGGGTTAACTAATATTTCTGATATTATGTATGTTTATGATGCTTCCTATTTCTTTTCTAATATCATGTTAGTATCATGTTAGGTTTGAAGTTTTAATGTTTAGTGACATGCTAGGGCTTGTTAGTATCATGCCTAGGATCTTGCTATTGTTATTATGCTTTATTGAGATTATTATTATAATGATGATTGTTATTGTTGCTTGATGTATTATTATTGTTGTTTCTTGATCACACCTTTTATGCATGTTTAAAGGGAATTTGTACTTGTAATATAAGATAATTAATAATCTTGTTTAGGTGTATGCTGCAATTCATCAAAACCTAAAAATTATCAGAATGCACAATAATAACAAATTAATTTTAATATTGTAAGCATGGTAGGAAACAAGCACAACAACAAGATTGGAAGAAGCCAAATAACATATAATTCATTTCATTTAAACCAATAATAGTGCATTACATGATGTAGTATTGCATTAGACTTAAACATTACATCCCATGAGTTGGCATTATAATTTAAAAAGCAAAGGCAAGCCGAAACTACATCATAAGCAAAATACTTAAAGTACTAAACAGTACTTACACTACATTAATTTCTTAAATTAAATACTACAAGGTTCAAGCCAACCAGCAAGGTTACATCCAACCTAAGCTATATCTTCCTAAGCTTAAACACAATTTTCAAGTCAGCAGGAATTGGAACAAATAAATTATCAAAAATTGGCGCAGAACGATCAGCAACATGCTCACTAAACGAAGAAGAAGCCTTAGGTTTACGAGGGGCTGTTGGAGGAAGTGCAGGTGTTGGGATCTTATGATAACCAGTTCGAGGTGTCAAGCAGTCACTCCCACCAGTATAAGGAGCTAGATGTAAATCTCCTTGCTTTCCAAGTGCACATTCCCTAACCGACATGTAGCTTTCCCTAGCTAGAGTACACTTAATTCCAAAATACACTCCTATTCCATAGTTCAGATCGACTACATCTACATTGTAACGGACACGCAGCAACTTAATAGCTCGTTTTGCAGCACCTTGCTTTGCATACTTGCAACTGCCAAAACGCGCAATATGTCAATGTAATCAATACATATGCATTTATCACACTATTTTCTGGCTGGTGGAACAGGCCACTTTGTTACTCCCTTTTCTTAAGGCCTATTCAATGAGTCCAAGGCTATGTGTTTCATCTCATAAAGGAAAGCACACAAGTCTAGCCTGTACATAGTATCCGTGGTTAGGTCATCGATCTGCAATCCATATTCTGCCCGTGAAAAGCGAATAACTTGCTTAGCAGCTTTTTCACGCGAGGCATCTCGGGTAACAATAAGGCACCCTTAAAAGATATAAGGGGAAAAATGAAATCAGTAATAAGAGAAATGTTAACATCATTCCCAGAATCACCAGCCAAGTTGTAAGTTGGAGCTGCTAACTTCAGGAAACCAATAACCTGGTTCAGCAGGCGCTGGAAAGAAATGGTCAATTTCAATGGCTTTGACCCCATGAAATTTGTGTATGATCAATATATACCATCAGAAGCTAGGCTACTATAGGGCATCATCAGAGAGAGCGAGCGAGGAAGCTAACTCGCAATGCTAGC